TTTTTTTTTGTTTTGAGATACACAGTAGTTTACGTTAAAGTCGAGTAATAGCATTTTTTCGCGTCGTTGCCACGAACCGAACAACTGGTTTTGTGGTGACTACCCAGAATTCCTTTACTGAGGCCAGGTTTTGATGCTGAAGGTGATTGAGAAATGATTCGTTTTTACATGAATTCGGATTTCGCTGTCTTTGTATTTTGCACTTAGTGACTATATAACTGTTCGTCTCAGGCATATAATTACTCTTGTAATGTCGAAATTATATTTTTAATTATATTTTTACGGTAGAGCTGTGACTGAGCTTTAGGTAGTCGTTGATACACTGGATGTTTATAGTTTGTTTGTCATTTTTGCAGAAATTTTGTTTTTTTTTTATTTTTTAATAGTTTGTTTGAATGTTTAGTGTTAAGGAGAGCTTTACTCTATCTGTAAACTGTATTCGAGTTTTTAAGCTTTAAAGGCTGCTATTATTATAAAGTAACTGCCTTAAAGTTTATAGAAATTTTTTAAAGAAGCATTCCTTTTTAGCTACGTATTGGCTGTTCTTCCAGTGTTGTAAAAAGTTTGTAAAGTTTTAAGGTCTCGTATTGGTTGCTTGCATTTCTTCGTACAGGTTGACATTTTAGTAACTACTCATTGGAAACTCGGGATCAGGATGGTTCGTATGAGCGTTTTGGCTGATGCACTAAAAAGTATAAATAATGCAGAAAAAAGGGGGAAGCGACAGGTAAGCAGTATACTACTTAGCTTAATCTTTCATTTTTTAAACACTTTATGAGCAAATCTGTAGTTTTGTGGCATATTAGGGAGAAAATTTTTGAGACCAAGACAGGAATCAATGAGAAAATCTTTTGTTTGCATTGAATAGCGAGATGTAGTTCCAGCGTTTGTTTACTCAGTTCAAATTTCCTTCTAGTAGGAATTAGATTCGCTATGTATTTATAAGAGAATGTTGCATTTATCTTGACTGCCGCAGTCAAAAAAAAATATTATAGGTCTTAATTAGGCCTTGCTCAAAGGTAATTGTCAAATTTTTAACGGTGATGATGAAAGCCGGCTATATTGGTGAATTTGAAATCATTGATGATCATCGGGCTGGGAAAATTGTTGTTAATTTAACTGGACGTATCAATAAATGTTCAGTTATTAGTCCACGGTGAGTCTGACGCATAAGTGTTTATGTTTATAGAATATTTTTTCTTCGTGTTTGTTTTCGGGAGGTTGTTAACCTTCCCTGTCTTTTTGCTCAATTTTTATTTTTCTGAGCGTTCTAGGTTCGATATATGCTTACGGGATTTGGAAAAGTGGACTAGTAATTTATTACCCTCCCGGCAGTTTGGTCACCTTGTTTTAACTACATCAGGTGGTATAATGGACCATGAAGAAGCGAGGCGTAAGCATCTTGGTGGGAAAATTCTTGGATTTTTCTTTTGAGTGTGGTAGTTGTTCTTGTTGTGTTTGGTGGTCTATAAAATAAAACTTCTGACTGTTTAACTTATCCTACAGTCGCTAACTTACGTATTTTTTCCTCAAGAAGGCTGACTTTTTTCCTCTAGTAGCTCTGATCCTTTTGTGTCAGGCCTTATTAAAGTTTGAAATCTCAACTACTGAGTCACATCTGGCATGACTGTAGCGTGCGTGTTTTCCTAGATAGAGTAGTTTTATAAATACTTTCAAAAGCAATTGCTTGTTTATTTTGTTTGCGGTAATTTTGGGTGATGAGGTTTGGAAGTTTTAGGAGACCATATTTTTTATTGTCATTAAAAACCAGTCGTTGATTTTCTGTCATTTTAGTGTTCCTGAGTTGCTGTAGCTATATCTATTTGGGAGGAATGAGTGAGCGAAAAGTAACTGTTGATTTATTCGATAAAAGGGGATTTTTTTTATTTGTGATTTCAGTGAATTTTGTTTTTTGCTCACAGGGAGTGGGTGTAAGCTGGAAGGGTTGGGAAGGTATTACTATTGTTGTTGGGAGGGATATCCTTAATTCAATAAGGGTTTTTTCAGAACGTTTTGTATTTGAGTGGTGAAGTATTTTAGTTGGTAAGTCATAAGTGATTAAATGTAGTATTAAAGAAGTACTTCCGTTTAACCTCGTTATTTGGAAGCTGGCAACACCAAGAAGTGGTGATACTGCGTTACAAAAGCGTAGTTAAACGTTAGTTTTTACTGACGGATGGTCTGTAAACGTTTTCGTAGGGTGGGGTGTGATGATTCTTTCGTTGTCAGATGGATTCCTTGCGTAAGGACGATGGACCCACTAAGCGTTCCAGGTGTCGTCATTTTACCCTTCGCTCCATCAATAAGAAAGGAAGCGGAATTGAGACAAAAGCTTTAGTCTTCAGTTTAATTTTCCATGAATAGTGTAGGGGTACAAGTGTGAAGTACAAGTTATGTTAGTTGAGGTAGGTATTTTTTTTAGAGATTTACCAGCAAAAAAAAGCAACTTGGCACTGTAATCTCAAATTCATGTTGCGAGCGTTGGAAGTGATTTGAAAAATAATTTTGGCAAAATTCCACTGTGTCGGAGCTTTCTTACCAGGACCAGCCTGTTTCATATAACCACAGAGACTAGATGCACGAAAACTAGTTGCTTCCATGCTTTGCGCCTACCGTTTGGATGTAATGCTGTGAAGCAAAGTTTCTTTTGCAGTACCAAGTGTTTCACTTTCACCGTTTCTGAGGTTCGATTACAGTTCTAAATTGGAAAAAGTTTTTCTCTCCATTTTTTGCTTTGCAAGCTGTCCTCCGCTTCGGCTACACCAAGCAGAGATTGTATTTTTGAGGAGGACTCAAAGATGCGTTTTCAAATAAAGCACTGCTTTCAAGTTTCCATATTACTATTCTGTAGGGGATCTGGATAGATCGCACTACCAATCGTCATCGTGTCTTTTTTCAGCATCGGCTATGAAAGTTGCCTACTAATTTGTATTTTAAACGTCAAGTTTTGGTCAGTACGCTTACTTTTTTCAGAAGTGACTTCTTGGGTCGTTTAGCTGAGGAAGGAATTTTGGAGCGCTGAAGTTTTATGATGCTTAATAAGACCACGAAAGAAATTCTACGTCCAAAGTTACTATCTTTAGGAATTAAATATAGTTTTCAGTCTTCTGTGAGCTGGTTAATTCTGGCTCATGTTTGGCGATTTTAGAATTCTCTGAGAGTAATTGTAGCCACTATCAAAAAGAAGAAAGGACTGGAGTGCCAGAAGTTGAAGAACGTGCAAAAAATTGTCACATTTCTTTTGGGACTGGTTCAGGGGGAATAGCTTCCAATTGTTGAACGATAAGATTTGAAAGCACATGCTTTTTAGCTGAAGACAAAAACTGGGTTAGCAAGGGGTTTTTATTTGTTTACTTCATCTATTCCCCTTCACTAAATACCATTTTTCTTGTTAAACTTTGGTTGCCTTATTGCACCAGAAAGTCCGCCGTGAAGCGTATGGAAGCCGAATAGCTTCCGGAGTATTTGTCGAGCTTCTGAAGGAGGATTTTTATAATGCCCTAAATGATTCTCTCTTGAAAAATTGAAAATCCTGTATTTATCAAATAGTGACGACCTTGTTTCAATAGATATTAATTCTTGATAATAAATACTCTTTTCTATTCACTGAACGTACAAAGCCGGAATTTTCCTAGCATTATAATAATGTGTGAGTGTTTGACCTGAACCAGAACCTGTCTGTCAACATTTCGAAAACGAAGCAATCAAATGATCTAAGGGTGCCGAGCAGAGCAAAATACGCTTTGGCAGGTAATCATGGTTATCCAAATATGGAGGGAAGATGAAGAAAGCATACGGGATTAGAGAAGTAATTAACGGTACTAGTTTCTGTAATTCGGAGCTCTTGTTTACAGATGCCTAAAAGTTTTAGAGCATTTATGAAAGCTCTTTTATTGTAGGCGGAGATTTACAAAACTTGTTCGGGAAATAAATTTATTTCGTTAAAAAATTTGCTGGGTTTGAGAAGTAGTATATCTGAACATAAAATTTGTGAAATTTTTATATCATGTAAACTGCAGCACAGTCTTTATTTTAAGGTCTAAAAACTGATAAGACCTCATATTTAAAAGTATTTTTTTTATTAGCATTGATCATAGGCACTGTCTTTGCATGTGCTACGTGATGCAAGTGTTCAATATGGCAGTCATTTTTCCCCAGACGACGGTTTTTTAAGTGCCGAGCCAGCGAGAGATTTCCTTACAGAAAAGAAGCGATGTTTTTACCCTGGAAAAAGGTTTTTGGGCATCTCAATTCATAAACTCTGAAAAAATGACTTTTTAAGGAGAGTTTAGCAGAGGAGATTAAATTACTTGAGCAGGAAAAATACAATAAATTTGTTTAGCCGAAATTGAGGAGGAGAGGGGAGAGAATTTAAGATCTGCATAAAAGGTAATTTCGCTTTTAATGGAAGATATTTTTTTTCACTTATGAATGATAAAAAACTCAAGTGTTGGCTTAAATATATAAGACAGTTTCATGATGAAAACATTTCTAAAAAGTTGGGTGACAAGAAAGAAGCTATTGGAGGTGGACGGAAAACTTTCAGTTCTGTCGTTTTAAGTGATTTTTACGTGGTCAGAAAAGCTGAGAGTTTGGGACACCTGACAACAATGGTTGCACATGTTTTTGAATGCTAAAATATCCTGTTACTGCAAAGAGTATGTTGGTTAGTATTAAACTGCTTAAAGTTATGACTTGGAGAGGAAGAAATGGAAGGGAGCAAAGTGGAATTTTCTGGTTGCTCTAAATTGCTGTAGTGTGCTTAGGTGTTGTTGTTTAGTAGGCGTTGTTTCAAAGATAAAAATAAAATCTATATGTATG